GATAAAAATTTATTTATTTGGTAGAAAAGCTTGAAAATTTAATACAAGGCTCTTAATAACATATTGTTACAATAGCAGTTGAAAAATAAAAGAAATTAATTGTCACAATTTTTTTTTATAAGTATTAAAATTTTGAATTTTGACAAAATACGTAAAAATCACAAAAATTCGCAAATTGTTTTAAGCTATAAATTCATGAAAAATGTTCTTTTTAAATCTACGATTTGAAAATTTTTAATAATCTATAATATATCCTAGACAGATAAACCGTCTCCGTTCAGAATCGCTTTTCGTATACAATGATACCTATCATTGTATTCAAATTTAACCTACCCTAGTCAGAGGTCCACCCCACTCCCTAATGTACTGCAGAGTTATACTCACTTACCTGCTTTTTTTGTAAACGTTTTTATATTTTAAGTGTTTAACATACTTATTTTTATTAATTGGTATTTAAAAAAATGTATAGAAAATAAGTTTTTAAAATAATATTTATTTGGTTTATTTAAGCATATTTTGATTGCATATTTTTGCATAATTTAAATAAACCAAATGCATATTTAATCATTTTTTATTGCATATAAATCATAGCCCTACTAATAATTATGCATGTTATCAAATTATTGGTTGCTCTTTTTTAAATATGACCAATCTTTCATTTTCACTTCTTAAATGTCTGCAAAATAAAAATATTAAAAAATTGTAACTGTTATAACTCATCTAATCAAAAGGAATAATAATTATAATCCTCCAGGTCTATTAAAATATTTACAAGATTTAATTTGTCAAAATTCTTCTAAACTGAGGAAAATAGTAATTATTTACAGAAATATTGATTAATAATAAATTCTTTACATTAAATAATTGTGTGTTTTAGTACTTACAGCTTTTATGCAATTTATAAACTAAACCATTTATGTTATGTATGTCTATTATCTATGTAAAAAGATCCTGTAATTTAATAGATAAAATTTATAAACTAAAAAAAAAATTAAACTATTGTTAATCACTTAAAAATATTGATGTTATTAAATATAATTTAATTTTTTTGTTTAGATAAAGATTTTATTTTTTTGACTCCGGTATCCACAATGTCAATGCCAAAACGACGACGCACTGAGAAGAGTAGTTTAATGATGGAAAGTAGCTCAGATACTGGTTACCAAACCATGACTATGAGCATTAAGGAAGTGTCTAGTATGGCACCATTTGGACATAGTTCCAAAAGTACAATGTTTACTGCATCTACACCCACAGAACGATGATTCTGATATGGTATACATTTTTTTTTTTTTATTCATTTTTAAACATTAACCATTGCTACATACATTTTTACATTTTTGTAATTAGGATGACAAACTTAGTCACTCGTTAATAACATGATTAATGCCTTTCCTCTAATAATATACATAACTGTGATGATTTTAATAATCGTTTAATGAAAACATATTGTATACCTTTTTTTTTTAATGTAATTTAAACAAGTTTACAACAAAACGCGCTATTTAGGCAATTGATTTACTATGTTTTATAGAAGACAAAAACATATTTGTCATATATTTAACATAAATTAAATACTAATTAATTATACTATATGTTACTTAGCAAATGTTTTATTTCTTCTTCATGTGATATTGTAGCTATGAAATGTTATCATTTGTTAGAACCGAATATTATATACTTCACTAGTTACTTATAATGCAATTAATGTAATTTTTATATTAAAACAAATTTTTTTATTTTAAGAAAAAAGTTTTTAATTAATATTTACAATGTTTAAAATTACAGTAGTTATAATGAATTATAATTTCTTGTAAAGGTTTATTTTCTCTCTATATAATCAAGTTTTTTACTAAAAAAATTGTGTGAGACCACTGCTTTAAAATTAGTTTGATTGATATTATTCATCATTTAACTTGCTATCCAAAATGTATRATAATTTATATTTACAAATGACAATCTAGAAGTCTACTTTAATCTCAATTCTATTAATAGATTTATGAGAAACTTAATTTTTGTATAAAATTATTGATTTTGTGAGATGTAACTTATAGGGATAATTGTGGGTTCCCATTATATGGATGGGATATTGTGATTTAAGTTATTGCGTATGGATCGTGCATACAAAGTTTTTTATTATCGACATTGGCTACAAATTTGCTGTAAAATTGGAAAAATATTAGTTCTTTGGAAAGAAAATTGCAATTATCTTGAATGTCTATATTGAAGTTAAGTTAGGTGGTTGAATATAGTTGTATTTGTTGAGAAAAACAATCTCCTACAATTCAACTATTTTGTCTTTGTTTCATGATCTTAAAAAAATTTAGAAGTTTTTAACAGAAAATTTAAAACATTATTTTTTGGTTTTCCAACTATTTTATTTTTGACAAGATAAAGATAGACGTGATATTATATATTATTCTGGAGTAATCTAAATTAATTATTCAATTCAAAATTGTTTTTTTTATAAAATAACCTTTTAGGTTACGTTCAATTTTTAACACAAATTTCATGCAATTCTATTAGATTTAATTATAGGCTTCACTTCTCATCATTCCAAAAAAAGAATAAAGTTTGTATAATATGTTAGACTGAGAAGAATTGAGCTGCTCTCATCAAAAGGAAAAGTATCACTACCTGAGAGTAAGCACAGTCAAGGCAAACCCGGCGACATATGATCAGTTGGAAAGATTTTTCTAGCGTAGCTCTCTTTTGTAGAGAAGGTCGACTTAGCGGGAATGCAATTGTATTCTCTTAGATCCAGAGAAAGACAAGGCTGAAAAGTGATCTCTTAATTTGATTTGAGAAAAAATTGAAGCTTAAAAAATTAGATTTTATGAAACTATAAATTGAGAACTCAGTTGAATCCTTCCAAGCCATTAATGAATGATATATAATCAAACTTTTCATTACTTCTATTTCCTTTTTGTTTATTTGATTTTATGACTAGATTATTATTTGAATTGATACAAACTTTTCTTKTTCTAGAACCTTTAGATTTTCCTTCTTTATTGGATGTAATATCATTAAAACACAGTGGCGGCGTGAACATTGTTCGTTCATGAGACCAAAACAGTCTTAGGGGACCACCCACCCCAGAAAACCTACCAATCCATAGTTATTATGTGTAMCAACACGACATCAACCTACGACCACCCACCCACCCAAAAAGTCATGAGACCCGGGTCTCATAGAATCCTTGTCACGCCGCCACTGTTAAAACATAATAAAACATTATTTTCAGGGTTTTCAAAAGAACCAAAAGTAAATTTCCATTTTTATCCAGATTAATTTTTTTATGAGAAATGTACTATTTTATTAGATATTTATTGATAGTTTTCAATCACATGTTATATTTCTCCCTGAAGGATTTTTTTGTATTATTTATAAAATCATATTCTCTCATTAATTTAATTAATGTTACATGATCCATTATTATTTATAAAATTGTTTGAGAATGGTAAATGATAAGTTGCATGTGAATAATTGTAATGGAAAATTTTAAAATGGAATGGCAAATGCAAATCTTTAATTACATTAACTTCAATAGTTAATTTAGCACAGATATAAAAGAGATGATAAATTTTARACAAATCAATCAACATCAGATATTGCTTAATTATAAATGGACTTGATCAAAGAATTTCATAAAGGAATAAATTAGAAAAATTTTGATGAAAGCTCGTAAGAGCTGGGTTAAAATTGGAAAAAATTCATTGTCATAAAATTTGATCAATCTGAATTCTGATTGGATGAAAGTATGTATTGWAAAAAATACAAAATTAAGACAAGAAGCTAAGAATAATTTTAAAAAAGATTTCTTTAAATTAATGAATAATCCTGTTTTTGGAAGAATAATGATGAATGTTAGGAAGCATGTAGATATAAAATCAATTTCTGAAGATAATAATTATACTAATCAAAACCTAATTTTTATAAATCAACATTTTTTGGAAAAAYCTTGCAGCTGTACAAATGATAAAACTGATATAGAATTCAACCAACCTATTTATATACGAGTAATATTTTGGATATTTCAAAAACATTGATGGATGCCTTTTATTATAGATTAAAGGAAAGATATGGTAATAGAATAAAACTATTATATACTGATATTTCCTGACTTCCTGTAAAAACTGAAGATATGAAGGGAATGATTGATGAATTTGACATGTAAGTTTATAAGAAAGAACATTTTTATGAAATTCCTCAAGTTAATGAAAAAGTATTTGGTTAATTTTAAAATGTGATGAAATGAATTTTTTTTAAAGAATTCATTGAATTAGCCTCTAAACTAAGGAGTTTGCTTCAAATTATGGCAAAATGAAAAAAGTTAAAGGAGTATAGAAGATTATTGTTAGAAATCAAATAACTCATGATTATAAAACATGTCTAGAAAATAATGTAACTAAGACTATTAAGCAAATACTGATAGGTAGTACAAAACATAATATATTTACTATTGAACAAAATAAGAGTTAGTGCATTTTACAATAAAAATTGTTTAGTTGAGGGTCAAACTAATACATTACCATGGAGTTGTTATTATACAATAATAAGAAATATATAAATCAAGCATTTGAAAAATCTTGAAAGAAAATTAACTTGTAAAATATCAATTAGGACAGCTTAAGAAAGATGATAAAATRTCCTCTTAAACGAGGATATAAGACATTCAATATTATATTGTATTACTATACTAGGTGCCACTGTGAGAATATTACTCGTGTGCGCATCTAAATGACCGAGCTCTGCAGTTTCTTACCTAAATTTCTTCCACTACCTATCAGTAGTCGCCGCCTTAACACGTTGACTGCCATGCGGCCGCCGGCATCCGTATAATAATAATTAGGTATTGATCATTTTTAGACCGCCGGCTGCCGCACCATATCATTCATAGGAGGCCACACGGCCGCAGGCTGCCATTAAATTAATTTGGATTAATGTTATTAACTTTTCCGTGGCGCTACAATAATGATCTTGAAAATATGCTGTGGCGTAGTGGGAATAATTGAAATTTGTTGATGTAATAAACATAATTTTAAAATTTTTTTTTGTATTTTTAATTTTTTTTCAAATTCAATAGTATATATTATACAAATACAAATTTATAATGACACTGAAAAATGTCTTTGGCGTACTCATGATATTCTTGAGGCCGCCAGTGGCTGCATGGCAGTCAACATGTTAAAGTGGCAGWGACGGTGGTGGCGGCCAGTGTTTGGCAAGGTTTAGTGGTGGGAATGAGCAAGATCAGACAAATTTTGGTCTCTGCCCAGTAGCGTTCTTACGATGGCCGTAGTATAGATACTTTATATTTTTACATCAGTTTTGGAGTTACTTTCAATCCTATCCTTTCACCTCATAATATTAATTCTTGCAATTAATAATCCATCATCATTTTTAAACTATATGTTTTTCAATAAATTGCTTTACATTATTTTCTTGTTGAAGTTCTTCATCAAGTAATTAATCATTCATTTTTAGATGATCCTTCATGTTTTCCATTTTTTATGTCATTAAATCCATTTGTAATGTTTTCAAATTTAATAATTATGTTTATATGGAAAATTATTTTTAAAATCAATCAAAAGAAATTATTCTGAAGATTAATTTAATTAAAAAAATTATTTTTTAATTGCACAACTTAATCCTTATCAACATATATTAGGATTTATTTCCTAAATGAAGATGAAATATTATTTACTTTAACATGTATATATACATTTATGGAATACTTTCTACAATATTAAAAATATTTTCTAATTATTTACCCATCTTTGTTTTAAATTTTTAAATAATATTAATAAAGAAATTATGCATAGAAAAGAAGTTGAAATTACTATAAAAGATAATCCTGAAGAAGTTTTTGAATTAAATGAGCAGTTAAACATTTTGAAACTTTATTTAAAATGAAACAAAAGTGAGATATTGAAAACTTGGAAAATTTCTTCCAGTTACAATTTTTCAAAGAATTTAATTATGACAAATAATTAAATAATAATAATAAAAATAACAATAATAATCTAATCTTGATTAAATTACAGGGGATATAATGAAGATAGTATATTTTAATTGTTTAATAGAAAAATCTAAGACTATTTCAAAATGTATCTTCAGCTGCCTTAGCTATGTATCAGGGTAAATCTTTAATTGTTTTGTCAGTGCATTTAAAAACGAGAGAAAATACTTGAAGAAAAAATAGATTTTTGACTATGAAATATTAGTCGTAAAAAATTGTTGAGTTACCTAAAATATTAAAAATTAAAGTCTGAGTTAGACTGCATCAGAAATTTGATATGACTTAAAATTTGAAGAAAACAAGGCTACGCTAGGAAAAATCAAGACTGCGCAGAAAGAATAAACTATATCTAWTAATGACAATAAACAATAAAAATATATTTATATTATAGTTTGGTAAAGTGAATAATTTAAAAGACATGGAATGATTATGTTTAATAAAATGAGTAAAACAACAAAATAATATATATTATAATTCCTAATAAATTAAAATTTTTACATTGGACCGATAATAATAATATAAWTTTTTTTCTGGGGAAAATGTTTAATCAATTTTATCACAAAATAAGAAAATATACCTTGTATATGTTTTATTTTTGTGGTTTACTAGAATATTAAGCTCAGTATATTATTCCGATGCCATGC